TGGTATCTATGGAGGGCCTTTAGACAGACCCTCTGAGGAGTATCTCTGACCGCCAGTCACAACTACAACCCTCTTCAGCTGGAAGTAGCCAGATTGGTCTTGGGGAATACGATAGATAGCTAAGACAGATAGGAATATTACAGGCAGTCAGACAGGGATGGTCCCTCAAGAGGTCAGCGCAGAAGACAGCTGCAGCTGGAGGCTTATTCACCAAAGGTCAGGCTTCAAGAAAAAGAATTACTCACCCATATACTTCCCCTAGGGATGAACAGCAGTGAGTGATACTCTAAGTAGGCATCAGTCCCCTTGGGGTGGACCAAACCTCCTTAACCCACCTCTTCCAAGAAAGTCTGCGTCCATCCCATGTGCGCTTGGTATCTGACTTGCTTCCCAATTTGATCCCCATTTAATCAATACTACCCTAGTGACTGTACTTGCTATATACTTACTGGCTGACGATAATTTTGTTCCACCTCACACCCATCCTATGATTTGCCATTAGATCAATATCACCTAAGTGACTGTACTTGTAATCTCACTGATTATGGTTCTGTCCCACCTTAAGCCCGCCTCACCTTGTGGCTTTGCTCAATAAAACACCCTTGAGAAGCGGGGTCAGTGGGCCACACATTTTCTGGGCCCACTTCTGTCCTTCTCAGACAGAAGTTTTTTTTTGTCTCAATAAATCCTTCCTACTCTTTTAAAAAAAGGAATTACACTGAATCTCTTTTAAATGAAATAAAAAATTACACCAAAGCTACATATTAATTAGATGAAAATGAATATGCTCACAATGCTGGGTCCTCCGTGTTTGTCCCAACATGTATCCAAACATCCTTCAGTGTTGCTCTGCTCAGTCTTCTGTACAGATACTGCACACATACTTCACTAGACTTATTCCAAGTTATATGGTGATTTGGTTGATCATTTAAAATATTCTATCTTTTCCAGCACTCAGGAGGCTGAGGCAGGAGGACTGCTCCAAGTTTGAGGCCAGCCTGGGCTACATAGAAAGACCCTGTCTCAAAACAAAATAAAACAAAAAAAGTTCTACATTTTTATTTTGTACCCACTGGCTTCCGGTTTGTATAAAATGGAATTGACTTTTGTACATTGATCTTATATTCAGCAATCTCCCCAGACTCACTTAATAACTTGTGAGAGTTTTCTGTATACGCTCTTGGACTTTGTCTGTGAATAATGACTCTCCTTTCTTCTTTTCCGTCGTTTATGGTTTTCTTGGCCTGCTTTGCTGGCTAGTGCTGAGGGCAGTGTTAGTAACAGACATCCTCATCTTGCTCTGACCTCAGAGGGAAGGCTCGTGATAGCCCACTGGGGAGTGTGACACGTGCCTCAGGGGTACTGTTAGGTAACACTCCTGTGATATTAAGGAAGTTGCTTTCTCCTCCCACTTTGCTAAGAGTTTCTTTCCATGAATGTGGGTTGGATTTTATAAATTTTTTCTTCTCCCCTGTTGAGGTGATAGTATGATTTTCTGCTTTGTTACATTAATATTGTGAATCAAGTTGATTAAAGCTCAAATATTAAACAACCATACATGTCAGCAGTAAACCCACCTTGGAACAAGCCCGAGACGATCGAGGCTCCCTCTGGTCATCCCACCATGCCGTCCAAAGCTGGCTTCCCAGAGGACGGAGAAGGGGTGAGGAGGACGGTTGCTCTGGCAGCTGTGGAGTGTGAGAAGACGGCTCCGTGGGACGCGAGACAGGTTACACACGCAGACACGGTCCCTTCCCAAGGCTCCCACTTCTCAGAGAGATGTCTATGAAATCATGTGTCAACAAAGAACCTAAGATATGTTGTAAGCAAAGCGTATAATAAGAGCTAGCGTAATAAATGCGATGAGCCACACCTGCAGATGCCTGCCACTGTTTCTGGCTGGGCCTGGAAGCCCTGCCCTGCCCAGGCTGCCACGCCAGCTCAGCACTGCAGGTGCCTGGGAGCTGCATCAACTCGCCAGTCGCCAGTCCCGGGGCGCCTTGACCGAGGAACTGTTAGAAGGCCAGGGCGCGGTCTCATGCTAGTCCCCCGTCATGGTGAGGGGCACAGCGGAGACCCGGGCAGGAGGGGTAGCGTCGCCGCAGCTACAGGCCAGGAGCAGGGCCAGGCTGGGCTCCAGCTCGCTGTTCCACAGCACATTCCAGAGAGATGAGAGCATGGATCGTCTGTCGATTCCTTTGAATCGCATACATACATAAGCCCACCTATTTTTGCTTTCTAGCATTCCACTTCTATTTTTGGTGGAATAGGAAAGCTTTGCCTATTTCCCGAAATGGAAAGTTGCATTCCCCCCGCTGTCTGGGAGTCTCTGCGCACTGGGCCTGTGCGCTGGGCGCTCCGAGCCCCTTTCCATCTCCCGTGGCAGCGGGCTGTGCGCTGCACCAGATGGCTTTCCCGGCCCGCCGCCTGCTTCAGCTCTGCCGCGGGTCCCAGTGGCTGGGCTGAGCCGGTGCCTTGGATGTGCCCAATGCCCCGTAGCTGCGGGCTGCAGGGAAGGCCCTGTGGCTGTGCGGCTGACACGGGTGGGGCAGGGGTAGCGGGAAAGGCGAGGGGCCCCCGAGGGTGTGCGGCCCCTGGAAGGAGGCGGGGCCTGAATGCGCCCAGCCCTACGCAACCTCTCCCATGACTCCGGGCCTCCAACGGCCTGTGCTAAACTGGCAACAGGATTCAAGCTGAGGGAAGAGAACCGTTCCTGGAAAGTAACAGAGATGTTACTGTTAACGCAGGGCTCCATCCCTGCAGCAGGGGGACCTGCAGAGCCAGGCCCTCTCCATCCCGCTTCTCTGCCAGGTCCCCCGACCCTCCTCTTACCCGTGCTGTGCATTTGTCCCAGGGACCAACAGTCAGCACAGGACCTCGGTGTGCCCGGGCTGCTTCCCAATGGACACAGACGCCCCCCACTCCCGGAGCCTCAGCCAGCGGCCAAAGCACTGGCTGCCCCAGAAAGTGCCTGTCAAGGCCAGCAAGGGGGGACGCCCCTCTGGCCCCTCCTGGTGTGGCCCTCTGATCTGTGTCTACACTGCCTGAGTCCTGTACCCCACTGGGAGACAGCTGGCATGACCCCTACAGGCCGAGTCAGGCAGTGCTGGGTCCTTCCCACCTCCAGGAAGCTTCTACAGCCAATGTGACCTTTTCTACGAAGATCCCTATGGGATTCGCTCAGGATATTGACTAGTGGCCGGTTCAGAAGAAATCAACTCCTCACTGGCCTCCTAAACTCGTCACCATTGTCCTGGGCAGTGTGATTTCAGCATGTTGCACTGGAGTGCAGGGCAGGGTGGGGATGAACATTTGTACCATCACATTCCATTTCCTTCTCTCCCTCTTTCATTTCTTTCTTTCTCTCTCCCTCTCCCTCTTTTTTTCTTTTTCTTTCTTTCTTTCTTTCTTTCTCTCTCTCTCTTTCTTTCTTTCTTTCTTTCTTTCTTTCTTTCTTTCTTTCGACAGGGTCTCACTATATAGTTCAGCCTGGCTTTGAACTCACTATGTACCCTAGGCTGGCCTCAAACTTGAGTGAGCCTCCCGCCTCAGCCTCCCAAGTGCTGGGATTACAGGTGTGCACCACCACACCCAGCAAAACACTCCATTTCTGCAGTTGGCTCTTGTTTTCCTTGGCTGTGCCATATAGTTTCAGGGATAGAAATGCTGCATATGTTTTTTGTTACATGGATGAAGTACTGTAAGTACCTTGTGTTTTCAGTTGCTCCTGGAAATGGTATGGTTTAGGTGGGCCCCCCAGGGGTTTCTCAATAGCATATAGAAAAGTAATTGATTTTGTGTGTTGCTTTTGTACCCTCTGGCCTTCATATATTCCTTTACCAATAGTAGCACATTCTTGTGGATGATGTAGGATTTTCTACATTCACATCTACAGTCATACTGCCTAGGAATAGAAGCAGGTTCAGTTCTTCCTTTCCTGTAATTTCTTTTTCTTGCCTTATTGTCCTGGCTGTGGCCCCATGTGATAGAACCATGGGCCAGATGGTGGGCTCAGAGGGCCTGGGAACCCACAGGAGCGAGTGTGGGGCATGACCCTGGAGGGAGGAGACGCCTGCTGCCCACAGCCCCGCCAGCACTCAGCTGGTGAGTGGAGGCACCTCGGGTGTGGCTGTCTGTGCTCGGGTTGTTGCTGTGCATGGACACGTCCTATGGTGAAGGCTCATTTTAATGTCTTTCTGTGAGCTGTTTCTTTGCACCCCTTCCCTGTTTTTCTTTCTGATTTCTGGCTCTTTGTCCCAAGTTTGTAAGGGTTCTCCTTGCGTGGGACATGCTACTCCCTCACCTGTGGCAGATGTCACTGACATTTTCTTGCAGTTCTTGGGTTCTGTTCGGCCTTGTCTGTTCCTCTTATCTGCTCAGCAGCTTCTATATGCAGACTCATTCATCTTTTCTTTCCTTTGAGTCAGTGTTCGAAGAACTGCCCCTGTAGCTAGATCAGGGCCATCCACCCGTCTTCCAGCGCTTGTATGATTTCACAGCTCGAGTGTGGCCTGTCTTGGTGCCTGGCTCTCAGGAGTGGGTGACCCATCCCAAGGCTTCCCAAGTGCCCACTGCTATCCAGGTGCAGCCTGCCCAAGGACACCTGATGTTGCACAGAGTCCCTGCGGTCCTGGGGTCGGCCCCCAGGTCTCTCCTCTGTCCGGGGTCCACTTGTCTGCTCATGCTCAGTGAGGACGTAGCCATCCCAGCAGGGGCAGTGACAGGCGTGGTGCCCGCCGCTCGCTCTCTGCCAGCAGCCCCTGGGTGTCATCAGGGGTTGGCACAGAGGGTCACTCTTGTCTGCACATGAAGGCTGTCAGTCCGTGGCTTCACCACATTTCTTTCTCTTCCGTTAAGTTCGAGGGAAACACTTGGCCCTGCTCACCCTCGCCTTAACAAGCAGGTGGCTGGAGATGGGGCGGCCACTGCCCGGCAGGAGGGCGTGCTATTCCTAAGAGAGGGAGGGACGGGCAGGACTTCTTGGTTTGCCATTCTTCCTTGTCAGGCGTGACACTGTCTGGCCTGCGTTCCTGCTCTGGGGAGGAGCACCAGGCGTGCGAGAGGCAGGTGAGTCAATGCGCCACGGTGGCAGTGGGGCAGCTGCTGTGTGTGTGAGTCCCCGCCGGCTGCCTGGACGCGTCCCCCGCCTGCCCGGACCGCTGTCCCTGTCTCTGCTCCAGCTCCAGGTTGCCTTCCAGGCAGAGAAGCACCGGAAGGGGCGGGGAGAGGGATAAATGCGGGCAAAGGGAGCCGCCTCTACCCCCGTGTGGGCCTTTGAGTTTTGTCTTCCTTTTTATAATAAAGAAAGGTTTTTAAGATTTTTTTTTTTCTTCCTGGCTCATTCGGGTTTCAGGTTATTTAAGGAGCCCAGCGATGAATCCAGATGACTCAGGTCCACCCCGGGAGGGATTTCCTTAAAAGACCTCTCAGTTTGTGGGAGCTCAGACCGACACGACTGTTCACAACGTAGGCGCCTCCTGCCTGGAGCTGCCGCTGGGCTCAGACACCAAGCCACGAGCAGAAACCCAAGCTAAAAATACCCTGCCTCTCCATCACCCACCCCGCTCAGCAGAGTCAACGGTGGCCCCAGGCGCAGGGGTCTCACAACCAGGTGTGGAAGCCGCTGGGCCTGGGGCACAGGTGGTGGGGCGCTGCTCAGAGCATGGCCTTGTCTATTCTGTTTTGTCCCTGCAGCGTGTGAGCTGCAGTCAGAGCTTCCCTCTACGTCTGCTCTGGGAGCAGTGATGGAGCACATGCCATCTCTGGCCTGTGTCCCTTCCCTGGGTCTTCCAGGCCCAAGTACCCCTGAGCAGTCGCCTTCTGCAGCTGGACAGATGTCCTCACAGGCGGCGCTGAGCAGCACATGTCAGGCTGGAGAAGACACCGCCCCTACCTGACCACACAGCAATGGGGTTGCCACTCCTTGCAGTGCTGACCAGTGGGGCGCAAAGGGCACCTTCCTGTCCCCCCAGCTCTGACTCAGACCCCCACTGGACATACGTCCAGGTCGCCCCTTGGCCATTGCCCCCCACCAGCATGCTTTGCCCCTGGAGAGCAGGGAGCCAGGCTACAGTGGACAGCGGCCGGCAGGACTTAGCGCTGCCTGCTGGACATAGGTGACGTCCTGAGTGCTCTGACACCCTAGCACCCAGGTCTAAGCTTCGGGAAGAGCTCGGCCTGCCACTCTCAGCGGGCACTCAGCAGGCACCCACGAGCACGCTCACCACAGGCCTTCCTGTCAGGAACGTCCTGTGTTTGATGCAGCACCTGGGCCCCGCGTTCCAGGAGAAGCGAGGGCTGGCCTGAGCTCCCTCCCGGCACTGCGGCTCTGGCCAGTGGGCGGGGCCCTTGTACTGCTGGCTGCTTCAGGTGCTGAGCTGCATTCACAGTTTCCACCCCGCGGGAAGTCTTGCAGCTTCCTCCTTCTCTGCCGAGAGTCCCGGCCCAGATCAGCCGTGCTCCTGTGCAACCTCCCCGCCTGGCCCGCACAAGTTGGAACCTCACGGCCCGAGGCAGAGGCCACCTGAGGGCCACCGCTTCCCTGTCAGCAGCCAGCTGGCCCTTGCAGCGTCTGCCTGAGAATCGATCCTTCAGCTGAGTGCCTGGCCCCAAGCTGGCTGGGCAGAACCAGGCAGAGGCTGGGATCGTAAGCCTCCTCTGGCCGGGGGACCCCTGGTCTCTGGGCTTCCTGCCTCTGCCCGTCCCTGGCCTGGGTAGGGGCATTTCTGAGAAATATCTTCTGCGGACCCTGTGTGGTGGGCCCTTCCCTCTGTCTCTGCTTGGTTTTTGCAGCACTGGGGATGGAGGCTGGGTCACACACGTGCGAGGCAGGAGCTCCACCGCCACGCCACACCCTAGCCCCCATCCTTTTTAAAATTAATGGCACATTTTAATTTTTACTCTCTGAGTAGGTAGCTGTTGGTCTGAGCATCAAACAGTGACAAGAATCCCTGCCCTGTGCCCCAGGACCCTCCGCTCCACACCTGGAGGTTGGATACAGGTGAGGTGTCATGACCCTCCCCCATGACCCGTGTGTCCTTCCACTGCCCACAGCAGATTCCACCTTCACCCTTCCTCAGGGATGCCCAGCATGTGTGAAGACCAGGGCTGGGGTCTGAAGCACATCCCTGGTCCCGAGCACCACACAGAAGTGTGATGGGGCAGGAAGATGGGTGTGGTGTCGGGGTGGGAAGGGGTGAGCCTGCGGGTTTGTGGAGGAAGAGTAACCTCGGGCTTGCTGTGACCCAGAAGAGCCTAGGGCTGGGTGGGTGGAGGGCCAAGAGGGCGGCAAACCCGACCCCTAGGACCCCAGGCAGCGGGCACTGTCAGAACGCTGACTCTGCCTGCCTTGGAACAGCCGTGGAACGTGAGCTGCCTACGGCCCGTGGGAGGGGCTCCCTGCCTGAAGTCTTGCAGGGCGCTGGCTGTCCTGGGGTTAGTTCTGTGCATCTTCCAGCTGGGCCTTGGGGCATCCAGACAGCTGGTTGACCACCCAGGAGGAGAGTGGTGTGGCCCACGGCACATAGCACAGGCCCCACGGGTCAGCAGGGTTCTGAGTACCATCTGGGAGACAGGGGAAGGGACTCAGCTGGGCGTGAGTGCTGAGCTCATGGCGTTAGGGTGACAAGATGAGTGAATCCCTCAGCCTGGCACCTATGAAACATGCTGTGTCCACTGCAGGTGGCACTGTGCTGCGTTGAGCTTCCCAGGCACAGCTGCTGGCTGCACGGCTGCCACTCAAAGCTCTGGCCACTACCATCCTGGCTGCGGAGCAAGTTGGTGCCTAGCGGACGCATCCCTGCCCAGGGCACAGTCTCTGGAGAGCGCCTTCTTCCGCCAGGCCTCCCGTTCCTCGGGCACCAGCCTTGCCAGCCACCCTCCTACCGGGCCCAGCAATGACCCGTCCCCACTTCTCAGTCCCCCACCCAGGCTGCCCTCTCAGATCCGGGCCCCGGCTCACGGAGGAGCGGCCGCCACGCTGAACATCGCGGAGCCACGGGACTCCAGCTGTCTAGTGTGGCCTACTTGGCCCGACGGCTTGGAGATGCTTTGAGGAGAACTTATGAAATATTAATGGGTGACTGTAATGAATCGGCCACGGAGCTCCGTCGAGTGAGGCGCGCACTCCCTGCCAGCAGCGCCTGGGCCCAGCTCCCGGTGCCAGTGGCTCGAGTGCTTCACCCGCGGCTGCTGTTGAATCCCCATAGCAACCGGGGGAGGCTGGCACTGGGATGGAGTGCTGAGAGGTGCGCAGATTCGGCCCTCACTCGGTGGCACCCACAGGCCCACACCAGCCGCAGGCCAGGTCCTCTCTGTGTGCTTCCCAAAGGCGGCCTCACTCGTGGAGTGCCTCCTGCCACCTCCGGCCCTGCCCTGGGGCGTCCCCCACAGCGCACAGACAGGGCACCCACCTTGTGGAGACACAGGTGCTTGGGATCACCTGCACCAGGGGAGCCCTGGGGTGTCCCCCACAGCGCACAGACAGGGCACCCACCTTGTGGAGACACAGGTGCTTGGGATCACCTGCACCAGGGGAGCCACTGAGTGCACAGGAAGAAACCTGGTCAGTCAGACAGAACCACAAAGCCATGTAGCCAGCAAGAGGCCAGGACATCCTCCAGTGTCAGCAGACAGTGTTAACAAGTGACCACTTAAAGGTCAGTCCTCACTAACAAAACTCCAAATAAGGCTCTGCTCAGTGGTGCACCTGCAGTCCCAGCACTCTGGAGGCTGAGACAGGAGGATTTCGAGTTTGAGGCCAGCTTGGACAGTTGAGCGGAGCCCTGTCTAAAAAGACCATTAAAAAAAATCCAAAAAAAAACAAATGAAACAAAAACACCTGCAAATTTAAAAAGTAACAATGTATTTTGTTTCAGTTAGCAGAAGGCAAAGAGCAACTACAGAAAGGAATGTCAACAACATTGATCCCACTCTACTCGAGAAAGAATGGCCATTGTCAGGAAACCAAATAACAAATGCTGGCCAGGCTGCTGGGGAGACACAAGCCCTGCTACATTTCCCATGGGAATGTAAACCAGTACAACCACTATGGAGATTGGAATGCAGACTCCTCAAAAAACTGAAACCAGAAATTCCAACTGACCCAGCTATTCCCCTTCTAGGATCTTCCCAAAAGAGTTGAGGACATCATGATGTAGTGATCCACGCACACTGTTTGTAGCAACACAACTCCTGGTAGCTATATCTTGGAAGCAGCCTGTAAGTCCACCAGCAGATGAATGGATAAAGAAAATGTGGAGTTTACACAGTACAGAGCAGTACTCTGCCATAAAGAAGGATAAACTTGTCATTTGTAGGAAGATGGATGGAACTTGAGACCATAATGTCCAGTGAAATAAATCAGACACACACGTTTAAATATCACATGGTTTCTCTTATATGAGAAACCCAAAGTATAAATAAGGAGAAAAATCAGAGAGAGAGAGATCTTTTCCAAAAAGAAAGGGGACCTGGGAGAGGGGGAGAGGGGCGGGGAGGATGAGAGAGGAACTAGGCTGGGTAGCAGCGCCAAGGGAGAAATATAAATAGTATGTACTGCAACCGTGGACTAATAATGAATAAAAGTAGGCAAGTATGAATCATAAAAAATACAATGCAGGAGATGTCACTCCCGGGGTGGCGAGACCTGGGGCACCCATCAGACTGTTAAGAGCGCGTACAGCATCTTAGGGTTCATGCTGAGAAGACCCCAAGCCCCATGCCCTGCAATGCTGTGCCCAGCCCTTGTGATGCCTAAAACCTGAGGACCCTCACAGCCAATGGGAAACTGTGACTAAGAACTTAAGTGTCCCTTCACACCATGGCTTCTATGCGGCCACCCAGTGGACCTGTGCCTGGACCTCAGAACAGTGGGTGATGGGGCTGTCACCTGAGGAGTCGTGTGTCACAGGGCTGAACACACAAGGTGCGGAGCGTCCACCGGCGGACACCTCCGCGGGTGCAGATGCGCGGCCGGTGTTTCTGCATGGTGGGCGGCGAGTGCCTGTCCTTCTCACTTGTTAGTGTCCTGTTTTTCTGGTGATGATGCGGGGTACACAGCAGAAGTGGGGAGCAGCAGGCTCCAGCAAGGCGAGGAGGGGGCTCGCCCTCCTTCCTGGCCCCTGCTGCAGCCGGCACAGCCCACTTGGGGAACGGGGTGCTCCTGCAGGACGCTGTGGCTCCCGGGGCACCCGCCTCACACTCCGCTGTCCCCAGGGCAGAAAGTCCTGCAGGCGCAGCCGTGGGTCAGGCTGCGAGCCAGGCAGACTCCTGGGTCCAAACCCAGGGTGGGGAGAAACGCGGCCAGCAGAGCCACACTGTGGCAACTGTGATGGCCTGGGGCCAGGAAGGAAGCCAGTGTCCGGGACCACACCCCAGAGCTCAGGCACAAAGACAGGCTGGGGCCGCGGGGTGGGGGACACGCTTGCAGAAGTGGCCAGGGACATCTTGGTGTTGTCGTGTGAAGGAGGGACAGGAGATGATGGTGACAGGTGTGTGAGGGGAGGAGAACCTCCAGCAAGCAGATGCAAGGCAGCACGGCCCAGCCAAGATGGAGCCGCTGGCCACAGACGCCAGCTCCCTCCTCTATGTGCACCAGGCCCGGGCCAACACTGCCCAGCATCCTCCTCTGCAGTGACTCTGAGGTCACTGGGCCACCACCCACCCTGACCTGCAAGGGCAGGTGAGGAGCCGGGAGCGCACAGCCCTGCTCTGCGAGCAGCTGGCTGGCACCGGGCATGGACACCAGAGCTGGGGGCAGAGTGGCAGGCAGGGGGCCCGAAGTCGTGCGCTTGACGTCTCAGCCTCCCGTGGGCACAGTGCAGCCCAGGTGGGCTGAGTCCGGACACAGCAGTGACAGCGCAAACCACGCCAACTGTGACACTCTCCTGGGGAGATGGTGCTTACAGAAACTGCCACCACACTCAGGAAACGAGAACATCTGGAGGCAAAGCCTTGGCCCAGCCAAACTCTCCCCTCCACTGAGCAAAGGTACATGATGCAGATACTTTGTGTGCATGCAGGGAAGCGCGTGCAAGAACAAAGCTGCTGGCAGAGGTGCAAAATGGAGTCAAGCGACTGCACAAGGACCCCACAGATGCATGCTGAGGGTCATGCCACAGGGGTCCTGCCACAGCCCCGGAGAAAGGTGGACCTGGTGCCCCCCAGAGGCATCACTCAACCACTGACCAGGCCAAATGGGCCTGCAGTACAGGATCCTGCCCAGCCAAGGAGCTGCCTCCCAGAACAAGCACTTTGGAAATCCTATAAAAAGTGGTGATGCACACCTGTAATCCCAGCACACAGGAGGCTGAGGCAGGAGGATTGCTGTGAGACTGAAGACAGCCTGGGCTACATAGTTAGACCCTATCTCAAAAATCAATCAATCAACCAATCAGTCATCAATCAATCAATCAATCAAAAGCAAACAAGAAAAGCCCATACTGCACATGCCTACATGGCAATTCTGTCTCCCAAATAAAAACTGCTTCCTTTGACCTCCATGTCTTTCATTTTGTTTTTGTTTCTGTTTTATTTACCAAACAATAATTTTAGACTCATAAACTACCAAAAGTATGCTTCAAGTGTCCTTCTCAACCAAAATTAACATAAATACCACACGCATAGAATTGGAGATTTACTTTGCAAAGAGAACTTCTGTGGAAAACACTTTATATCTTTCAATGCCTTTTGATTTTTTTAGAAGAATTTTTCCTGTTTTTTTCCAGTGTTTTTCTTTTTCAAATTTTTTGATCCCTGTACAACTTTGCTCTGACCACACTTCTGTTCCCAAATTCTTTTGTAATCGAATACTGTATTTTCAGTTTGTACCAAAAGAACTGAAAATTACCTCAACCAAGAAGCCCAGAGATAAATGCTCACCAGTGGACTGGTACTCGACAGACATGGCAAGTCCTGCCCCATGGGTTGCTACTTACCCTGAGGGGACAAGAGGCCAGGACAGTGAGCAGCTGCTTCGGAGCTCAGCAACCAGAAGTACAAGGACACTCAGGTGAGAAGAATCTGCGCCTGCAGCCCAGGTGCTTTCGGGCTGGGGACACAGGTAAGGAAATGGGCTCGGAGTTGCGTTCAGCAGTGAGTGCACTATCATATCAGCTGATTGTTCCCACAACGGGTACGTGAGCCACAAAGCACTCCAAAGACATTTTAACACCACACGTATTAAATATGGAATTTTCCTCACAAATTATTTCTTGTCCAATGAATCGACCATGCAGTGATGGGAATCTGCGTCTGGAGTTCACTTTGTTGAGCTCATGGGTGCCAGGAGACCACAGCCAGCTCTGAGGAAGCCGCATCCTGGTTGAGGCAGCCAGTTCCTCAGGCTGAGGGTTCAAAGTGTCGCAATGTATTCTGCAGAAACATCTCAGACGATAGCCAGTCAGCCTCTTGCTCTTTGGCCTAAGAAACATAATCTTTAGCAAAGACACAAAAACAACTCTAAAGTTCTCTTTTATTGGGCTCCTCTGAGAATGTAATTATGCAATCACAAAACGGAAGTGGCTTTCTGCTACAGCTGCTGGCCCCCCAGCCCAGACTGCCACAGCCTTGAATATGCAATTTACAAACCCAGCAAGAGGGTGAGATGCGTTGTGGCAGTGTGCCCCACTCCAACCACAGTGCGTATAAAATAAACATCTTCTATTTTAAGAATAATTTTGGACATTCTCGTTTTAGTATTAAACTTTAAATGACTGATTTTTGAATTTTATAGTAATGAATTCTCCTATCTTTGAGCCGCATATCCTGAGCCCCTGTGAGTGATGGGGATCCCTGGCTCTCCATCCCTTCCCTCTGTGTGCATGGGCCCTCAAGGGTCTTGCCTTTCCCTAGGACCTTTTCTTTCTGTGTTTTCAGTTTTGAGTATCTTTTGGCTTCTGGGCATAGGGAGGAGGAAAATAGTGTTTCCCACCTGCATCAAATCCAAGCTGTCACTGGCACTGTGACTTCCCTGTAGGCTTAAATGCACCATATCATCACCAGCAGCCTGGCCACCTGTTCCAGTCCTAGTACTGCAGCACAATAGATACAGACTTCATGCTGGTGCAGTTGCTGACGTTTTAAACTTCCTTTTTCAGCTGGCTGAGGGCAATCCTTCAGCTCACAGGAATCATATCCCTTGGGCTTTTATCTGGTATGGACGTTTGTCAGTCGTCAGCTGCTGTGTGACAGTTCAGCTGGGTATAAAACTGATGCCTGAGCTGGGTGTGGTGATGCATGTTTGTAATCCCAACACTCAGCAGGCTGAGGCTGGAGGATCACCATGAGTTTGAGGCCAGCCTGGCGTACATTGCGAGTTCAAGATCAGCTTGAACTACACAGCGCAAAAAAACCAAAAAACAAAAAAACACGTGATGTGGGAGTCCATTTCTGTTGAGAGCCAAGGTGACTTTTTAAATCCATGAACCTGACTTCCTTTGTGATGGAGAGAACTTGAGCTGGGTGTTCACATGCTTGCTCTGTCCCACTGGTGAGTTTTTCCTCCTGGGGCTCCAGGTGTGTGGGTGCTGGATCTCTGTCGCTGCCTTCCAGCAGGAACATTCTCTCCTCCAAGGCTTTCCTAAAGAAAGCTGTCCGAGAAGATGCAGGCACCTGTAATCCCCGGAAACGGGCAGCGCTCCTCCACCTGGCCTCCAGCTGGTTCACGCCCTCCCATTCTTGAAACTTAAACCCCGCGTTTTCCTTGCCTGTCAGTCAGCTCTTACTGTTTCCATCTTTACGTACATTTATGGGCACTGAAATGTGCAGACCTTACCTCTAAAAATGTTTCAGCAGACTTTCCTTCTTAAGGCAGGTTCCAGACTGGACATCTTAGCAATTTGGTAAGTCCCTGTCTCAAAATACAAAAGACTTTAAAAGGCCGGAAGGGAGCTCGGTGCGAAGGCCCTGGGTTCGGTCCCCAGTACTGGAAGTAAGAGCCTCAGCTGGTTTCCCATTGGGCACCGCGCCCGCTCTCCGCATAGACGGCAATCGCGCGGGCGCCAGGGCCGAGAAGGACGCCGGGCCCTGGCGCCCGCACCGGAGCTCCCTGGCTCTGTCCGCCTCCTCAGCGTGGCCGCGGACTGCCGCCCGCGCTCACTCCTGCGCCCTGCGGTGGGAGGGGTCGTCCCGAAGTCCGCGGCCTCACGGCCCGCACCTCAGGTGCCCCCGGCCGTGCGGCCCCACAGTGTGCTCTGGGCCGGCCTGACGCTCGGAGGGGCGACGTGAGGGGCGCTGGTCCA